TCTGAAGTTCATGTTTTGTTCTCATGCTTTTGGTTATCTCAGTCCTTATTAAGAAATGGGTGTTGTCAATGTGATAGACAAGATCTTTCTGGGCTAGATCCTAGCATGCATTCTGGAAAGACTCAAAATTACAAAAGCCAATATTATATGCCAAAAAAAAAACATTATATAAAATCTTTCATCATAGTTGACAGTATCTTGAAGTGAGTATAAAATATTTAATCTGCAGGCAAAGTAATAATAATACATAAAAATATTTGATACATTCTTTTCTGGTGCAGTCTAGCTCTGTGTAACTGTTTTTCAAATGGTCTTCTTTACACATAATGTTACTTTGAGTTATTTTGATCATAACACATGAAAAGAATCCCAGGATGAAGCCAACATAATCTTTTCTACCACCATGTCAATACCCAGTTCTTGATAATGACTAAGACAGTTGAAAGTACTTGAACAAAACAAACTTTAGACAGTTTATCCACAACTCAACACTTAGACAAACAGACATTGTTAGCTGAATTTAACAAAACCTATTTGTATACACACACACACACACACCTCAGAATTGTGTAATGGTTACCAAGCTTGCCTCACTAAAAAAGTTACAACTAAATCGTGACTTCAATCCTCACTGGATGCCCCCATAATTTCGGCTTTGTACCACATCTAAGATATGCTTAGAAAATCATTTTTTAGAGCACCTCGAGATAGGGTAATGGTCAGCAAACATGTCTTGCTAGAACAATTACGACTGAGTAGTGAGTTCGATACATTTGGCCTTGTGCCACATCTAAGCTATACACACACACATATATATGTCTATATTTCTGAGATGAGATATTTTAATTATTTACACTATTTACATTATTCAGACTGTTTTTCTCATCTTTATTGTCATATTCATAGTGTTTCAGCTGTCTTCTTTGTGTGATACGTTGGAATTTTGAACCAAACCCTTTATTTAATCCATTGGGGTTACATTGTTCTAGTTCCACATGCCATGCCTTTTCTGGATATCTCAGTTTCAGTAAATCCCCTTAGTAACTCATACTCTCCAAGCTTTTGTTCACCTTTGCTGTGACCAGGTATTGAACTCATAACTCTTTGGGTCAAGTCAGTGCTTTTATCCTTGAGGACAAACTATTGTCACTTCAATACCTGGCTGCAACAGAGTTGAACAAAAACTTGGAGTGTTGAGTTACTAAAGAGAAATAACTGAAATTGAGATATCCAGAAAAGGCATGGCATGTGGAACTAGAACAATCTACCCGCAGGGATTAAAAGGGTTTGGTTTGAAATTCCAACATATATTACCAGAAGAAAGTCTGAGCATACAACAGCCAAAACGTAAATATGACAATAAAGATGAAGACAACAATATAAATAGTGTATGCTTTTCCAAGGGTATTAGCATGTAAGTGAATGTAATGGATTCAACTGGAATTTGAACTTAGTTCTCTGATTCCTCAATCTGAGATAATATCCATTACTCCACAATGCCTCAGCTATGGGTAAATAGCAGGACAGACTGGGTTCTATAGCCTTGGATGGAAACTGGTCTAGGAGGAGGACATCTATAAATTCAAGACCTGCGGAGAATCATTTGGGGACCTTTGTGGCAAACGGTGCACCAGGTCTCTGTATTCAGCTCTTCAAAAAGTGTGGTTGGTTCTACACAAAACATTCACCACTATAAATCATATGTGCAAGTTGTCTGGCTGTCAGTTCCTAGGAGCTGAGTTGCCTGACCCTCATACATTGTAAGAGAATTCCCAGTATGTGTGGATCAACAGCCCATATCGATCAATGACTGGAGAGTTCATGATATATATATATATATAAGAGAGAGAGAGACAAAGAAGAATATAAACATGTACATTGAAGTTAACACCCGGAGGTGACAGTCTGTTTCATGCTAAAACTTGACGATTGTGTTTAGCTCTCACAGACTCTCACCTCTACATGTTGACCTCAATGTCCACTTTTATATTTACATACACAATATCTCTGATATTGAGAACTTAAACCATAAACATAGCATACCCACAAACTATATTTCATCTCACAAACACACACACACATATATATATATATATATATATATATATATATATATAAAATTTAGGTAGATGTTTGTGTTTGATTTTTTTCATTATCATTTAATATTTATTTTTATTTTTTCATTATGATTTATTGATTTTCATTTTTATTTTCTTTGGTCACTTGACAGACATTGTTTTGGTTTTAGCAATACTTTGATTTTTTATATATATGTATATATATAATTTTATATATATAACATTTCATGCCATGTCTCATGATATAGGTGATCATAGCCCTCTGCAACTTTCTTTTATTTATTTGTGAATATGCCATGATTCTTGGAAAAGATATTTCACCATGATTTTGAATTCAGAGTTGTCTTCTGCCTATTTAAAGCATAGGTGGGAAGGGAAAAGATGGATTCACGCCTTTCTCAAATACCTTACTGCTACATATATATTCATACATATATATAATGTTGTAGCATACCTATGGATGATAATGGGTATGTCCCCATTCACGTAAATACTTTGTGTTGGTCTGCAGTTGGAAATTCATTGTGGAATTACTTTCTAGCAGTTGACTACTTCTTCTACGTGTTATTCTTGTATTGTTATCCTAAGTATTATCATTTCTTTCAGAATTAGTTTTATACAGCCTATATATATATATATATATATATATATATATATATATATACACACACACACGTGTATATATATATATATATATATATACACACACATATATATATATATATATTAGTTTTAAGATGTATTTATTGAAAAGTGCTGAATGCCATGGCTTACCTCTGTCATTTCTGTAAATATTTTCATGGCAGTTGTTTTAATGAGGTCTCTTTTTTGGTACTTCAACCACATGAATGTAAACATAGTGCTACATTGGCAACCAGGTTTCAGTGTTTTACTGTTGATATAAATGTAACCATAATTTTTATTATAATTGTTTCTTTTCTTGCACTTCTCACCTGTGTAACTGTTTTTGGCTTTTGTCATTTATGATCTAAAATTTGAATGTAATGTCAATCTCTATCTTCTGTTTTTCTGAAAACTGTTCTTTTATTGTTCTTTTCCATGTATCTTTTCCATATTACTGATAAAATAATCAAAAGTAATGCTTGACTAGTATAAAAAATACATCTTTTAATAGTTACTTTTGTTGTACTCCTGTCCTGTGGAACCATCTTCCGCCTACAATCTTTCAAAAAGTTAAATGCAATGTCAATCACCAACTTCTGTCTTTCTGAATCTTGTTCTTTTATTGTCCTTTCTCCTCCCTAAAGTCTTCTCATTCCCTGTCATTCCCAATAATGCCTTGTGTCTTAGTGGCTTTATTGCATTGCTTGCAGTGAAACATTAAAAAAAAATCAGATTCTGTGCCTTTTTCTTATAACTACTTTTGGCAATACTATCTAATGATTATGAGCAAAAATTCTTTGACAGACAAGTGGGATAATACCAGATTGGTGACGTACACTTGTGGCAAATTCTGACCAGGTTTTTGGGATTTTTTTTAATTATAATCTTTTGTTCCAGGATATCTTCTGTTCTGTGTACGTCCATTGGTTTATATGGCAAAATTCTAACCACTGTCACAATTCTTCATGTTCACCTTTTGGGCATAATAAAGTATGTTTTAATACTAATTCTAAGCCAATTACATTTTTTAATTGTTATTTTGAAAGGCAAAAAAGCAAAGGATTTATACTAATGGTACTGAACTGTATTGGGTATTGATAATAAAATAATTGCAGAACAAGGTGATTAGTGTCTGCATCATCTAGTTACTGAGTCCAAAGATATGTAAAAATGTTTGATGAGCACAAATCCTGGTCAATATTCCGAATGCCAATTTACATGAAAAACTAGTGGGAAAAACTTTTAAAAATCAAAATAATAATTGGAAATAATCAGTGACTTTGCATCAGAAAGCTCGCAAAACTGGTCTCCATCAATAAAATTACTGTTAGGTAAATTTTGCTTGAAAATTTGAATGTGACAAAAGTTCATCATTTTCAATATTCTTTTTACCTTGATAAATTCTTTTGTGCTAGTCAAATACATGACATGCATTCTTCTCCAAAAACTTCAATTAGGATAAAGAAGATTCATGATTTGGTTTGTTTTACTTTGCTTTATTTCTTGCAAGGTTATTTAATGCATATATTTTAATAAACAAGAGATAGGTAAGCATAGCTCCACTTTGCATGAGAGCCAAAAAGACAGACATTAGTCTGATTTGCATGTGAGTCAAAAAAGATAGACATTGTTCTGGTTTGCAAGTGAGTCAAAAAAGGTAGACATCGATCTGGTATGCATGATTATCGAAAAGGTAGACATTGGTCTGGTTTGCATGATTGTCAGAAAGGTAGACATTGCTCTGTTTTGCATGTGGGTAACAACGGTAGACATTGGTTTGGTTTGCCTGAGAGTAAAAATGACTGGTCCAGTTTGCATGAGACTAAAAAAGGTAGACAGTAGTCAAGTTTGTATAAGAGTAAAAAAATAAAAAGGTCTAGTTAGCATGAGAGTCGAAATGGTTGTAGTAATATTAGCCATTTCCTTACAAGGAAACATTCAACATTCATTGACTGAGTAGTGAGTGCTACCATTGGCTGAAATTTATAAAATCTTTTTGTTAAAACTATTTTTCCAGAAAATAGATTTCTAAAGTCTAGTAACTGTTATTGCTCTTTCCAGTTTGATAGAGAGTAGTGGAATGAGAAAACCCTAAAGATTAAGGAAACTCTCTGAATATCAGAGGGTGCAGTGGTCAAAATTTTGTGATAATAAACAAGACGATGACATTAGTCTGAATGTAGATAATATAAATAATTCCTCAACCTAGAAATACAAAAATAAATCAGTTTTTTGTAAGGGAAGAGCCTCTTAGCTACACCCAGAACTTTTCAACACCCATTCAATTTGTAGAATAATATGATTGAATATTTAGAAAAGTCTTTTTCCATCTCTCTTTTTAGTACTAAAGTATGTACAAATATCTTAATTTGATTTTAAATAGGTTAAGTTTTGCGCTTGATTTCTAACTCCACAAAATAATTTATGTCATCTAATTTGAACTAATTGGCCATTGGAGTATTTACTGTTAATGTCAGAACCAGATGTCAAGGCTTAAAATGCTAATTTTCAAGGCTGATATACTCTTCACACTTTTCAGATTCAAGCAACTCCAATGTTTTGTTTCATGTCCTGCCCTATTTTTTGTCAGCTTTCAAGTCCAGGTAAAAGCTCGTTTCAAATGCTGATTTTTCAGGCAGGCTATATCTGTGCATCCTTTTAGTCCATTTAGCTTTGTGCCCTACTGAATTATTAAACATGTATATCTTTACAGGGTTTAGGAGAAATAACAAAAAGACAAAATTTATTAAAAGCTACAAAGGTCAGAAAATTGTGGAGAGCCATGATAGCCTATGACTTGAGGAGACATGGCACAAAGAAGAATATCTTTATCTATTCAATAAAAGATGTTATTTATTTCTATAAATTATCAGATGTTACCTTAACGTTTTTCTTTAAATTTATGGTGACTCTGTATCAAGGTAGACAGAAAATGTACAACAGTCCAAAATACTGCAAACTTAAAGATAAAAATACGAAAGTGATTTATAACTTTGTCTATGCCTGTATCTTGTTCTCCTTCTAAATTTGTCCAAGTTTCAACATGTCTAAAGAGAGTCAGGGTGATTCTATACAAATCACCCACACTTTAATCTAATTCCAAGTGCTTACATCAATTTTGTATACAATGCGATGTAAATTTCAGGATCATAAAAATTTTCTCTCAGACTTTTTTCCTTAACCCATTGAATGTAGAAATCTGACTATTTGTTGATACATTATCTCTGTCTTTCTTTTTCCTTTCTTCCTCTCTCCTTCTGTCTCTTGCCTTTCTTTCTCCCTCCCTCTCCTTTTTTCTTTCTCTCCCTCCCTCTCCTTTTTTCTTTCTCTCCCTCCCTCTCCTTTTTTCTTTCTCTCCCTCCCTCTCCTTTTTCTTTCTCTCCCTCCCCTCCTTTTTTCTCTCCCTCCCTCTTTTTTTTCTCTCTCCCTCTTTCCTTTCTTTCTTTCTTTCTTTCTTTCTTTCTTTCTTTCTTTCTTTCTTTCTTTCTTTCTTTCTTTCTCTGTCTCTATCTTTTTCCTTTCTTTCTCTGTCGCTTTTCTTTCTTTTTCCTATCTTTTTTTTCTTTCTCTCTCTATATCTTTTTCCTTTCTTTCTCTCTCTCTCTCTCTCTTCCTTTCTTTCTCTCTCTCTCTATCTCTTCCTTTCTTTCTCTCTCTCTCTATCTCTTCCTTTCTTTCTCAATCTCTTCCTTTCTTTCTCAATCTCTTCCTTTCTTTCTCTCTTTCTTTCTTTCTTTTTTTTTCTTTATCTCTTCCTTCCTTCCTTCCTTTTTTCTTTTTTTTCTTTCCCTCTTTCACTTTCTCTCTCTCTTTCCTTTTTTCTCCTTTTCTTTTTCTTTGTTTTCCCTCTCTTTCTCCTTTCTCTCTCTCCTCTTTCTCCTTTCTCTCTCTCCTCTTTCTCCTTTCCTCCCCACTCTCTCTCTTTCCTTTCCCCTCTTTCTCATTTCTTTGTCCCTCTCTCTCATTTATTTCTCCCTCACTTTCATGTAGTTCTCCCTTTCTTTCTTTGGCTTTCTTTCTCCCTTTCTCTCAATTTTTTCGTTCTCCTTCTCTTTCTCATTTTCCTTTCTTTTACTCTCTCTCTCTCTCTCTCTCTTTTTCTCCATCCCTCTCTTTTCCTTTTTCTCCATCTCTCTCTTTTCCTTTTTCTCCCTCTCTTTTTCCTTTTTTCTTGCTCTCTCTCTTTCTGTTCTCTCCCCCTTCTCTCTTTTCCGTTCTCTCCCCCTTCTTTTTTTTCCGTTCTCTCCCCCTTCTCTTTTTTCCGTTCTCTCCCCCTTCTCTCTTTTCCGTTCTCTCCCCCATCTCTCTTTTCCATTCTCTCCCCCTTCTCTCTTTTCCGTTTTCTCCCTCTCTCTCTCCATTCTTTCTTTCTTTATCACTCCTTTTGTTCCCCTTTACCTCTCCCTCTTTTTCGCCTTGCTCTCTTTTTCTTTCTTTCTTCCTTTTCCTTCCCACTTTCTATCTTCTTTTTTTCCTTTCTATCTTCACTTTTTCTTCCCAATTCTCTATCTTCACTCTTTTTCTTCCCACTTTCTATCTTCACTTTTTTCTTCCCCTTTCTATCTTCTTTCTTTTTTCTTCCCACTTTCTATCTTCACTCTTTTTCTTCCCACTTTCTATCTTCACTCTTTTCTTCCCACTTTCTATCTTCCTCTTTTTTCTTTCTATCTTCACTCTTTTTTCTTCCCACTTTCTATCTTCTCTTTTTCTTCCCACTTTTCTATCTTCCTTTTTTCTTCCCACTTTCTATCTTCACCTTTTTCCTTCCCATTTTCTATCTTCCTTTTTTTTCTTCCCACTTTCTATCTTCTTCATTTTTTTCCTTCTTTCTATCTTCACTTTTTTTCTTCCCACTTTCTATCTTTTTTTTCTTCCCCTTTTCTATCTTCTTTTCTTTTTCCTTCCCACTTTCTATCTTCCTCTTTTTCTTCCCACTTTCTATCTTCACTTTTTCCTTTTTTATCTTCACTCTTTTCCTTCCCACTTTCTATCTTCACTCTTTTCCTTCCCACTTTCTATCTTCACTCTTTTTCCTTCCCACTTTCTATCTTCACTTTTTCCTTCCCACTTTCTATCTTCACTCTTTTTTCTTCCCACTTTCTATCTTCACTCTTTTTTCTTCCCACTTTCTATCTATCTTTTTTTTTCCTTCCCACTTTCTATCTTCACTCTTTTTTCTTCCCATCTTTCTTTTATCTTCCTTTTTTCTTTTCCTTTTTTCCCTTCCCACTTTCTATCTTCACTCTTTTCCTTCCCACTTTCTATCTTCACTCTTTTCCTTCCCACTTTCTATCTTCACTCTTTTCCTTCCCACTTTCTATCTTCACTCTTTTTCTTCCCACTTTCTATCTTCACTCTTTTTCTTCCCACTTTCTATCTTCACTCTTTTTCTTCCCACTTTCTATCTTCACTCTTTTTCTTCCCACTTCTATCCTCTTTTTTCTTCCCACTTTCTATCTTCACTTTTTTTTCTTCCCACTTTCTATCTTCACTCTTTTTCTTCCCACTTTCTATTTTCACTCTTTTTCTTCCCACTTTCTATCTTCACTTTTTTTTTCCCTTCTATTCACTCTTTTTTCTTCCCTTTTCTATCTTCACTCTTTTTCTTCATTGTGACTTTTTCAACTCTTTCTTTCTTCACTCTTTCTTTCTAACTTTCTTTTTCATTCTCTTTCTTTTTTCTCACTTTCTCTTTTCACTCTTTCATATTTGAATTCCTTTGCCCTTCATTTCTTCTCTTCATTTACATTTGATACCAACATAAAATACAAAGTGAAATTTACAAACTTATACATGGATTCTGCTTTTCATTACCTTCTTTCTGTTATTTTTTTGCAAAATAACATCTTTTGTGATCATTATCTAATTTTATCAAATTTTTGCTAACTTGTATTAATTCTTAAAATGGCAAAAAGAAAGTCATAATAATCTCACTGAATTTTAAATACTTATTTTCCTGACAACAAAAAGTAGCAAGTTTTTTATTGACTTCATTTTGTTTTACATATAGCAGAGAAATATGTAAAACAGTTTCTGAACAAATAATCTACAGAGGTAAAAAAGAATTTTATTAGTCTTAGTGAATTTCTGAATTTTATGAGATGCATCTTTTTAAGAAATTTGTTCTGATGATTTTACAAGATGATTTTGCTTTTATGCCTAATGGGTGTTTTTAATATTTGCATTTACTTCCTCAGATTCACTGGAATTTTTACCAATTAGCAATTACACTGGAAGTGAACTCAACAAATCATGAATTAAATATTTCATTCTTGAAATAAATGCTGATGAAAACCTAAAGCTAGATGAAAAGTTAAAACAGAAAATGGTTTATAAATTATGCAGTTAGAAATGCTAGTATATCCACGAGAGGAAGTTCCAAATAATGTCTTTTTTTTATCTGTTTTTGTATCCTGTTTTGTAATTGTTGTTCTTACTGTACAAAATTCCATTCCATATTTCCAGCACATTTCCTGAAAGTCTTCAAGACGTATGGTGCATTTTAAAATACACTTCCTGGAACTGATATAGTATGTTTTTTTTAATTTCCTGTGGTTGATATGTTCAAATTGATTGTAATATACTTACTGTAGTGACAAGGCACCTAAATATCTTCATGAGAATATTGTAATAAACTTACAAATTTAACAGTTAGAGTTCAAGCCCACACAAAGTCAATTATCTCAAGGCCAGAATTACTCTTTCCAGATGCAAACTGATTACATATATCTTTTAATTGATATACATATATATAATCAGTTTGAGTCTGGGATAATCAATAAAGAATATAGATAGGCAATTGTGAAGAAAGGATTAAACATCAATTATAAGAAGATGGAATGCATGGTTGTTTGACATACCAAAATCAAGCAAGTACATTAATTTAAATATCTAGAAAGTGCTTTAATGAAGGTAAGAAAGTGTGACCCTGAAATCCAAAGGTGCATTAGGATAGTGAAAGATGCCTTCCAAAAGTGAAGCAAAGTGTTATGAAACAGGAAAATCTTGTTAGAAAAAAGAAAAAAATAACAGTTATGTAATATTGGTCCTCTTATATGGCAGTAAATATTGGACCGTCTCCTCACAGATGAAAAGACTTGAGATAACATATAGTTTTACAGAAGTATCCTGGGGATACCATGAACTGAACATGTGAGCAATAATAAAAAGTAGCAAGTTTTTTATTGACTTCATTTTGTTTTACATATAGCAGAGAAATATGTAAAACAGTTTCTGAACAAATAATCTATGTAAAAAAAGAATTTTATTAGTCTTAGTGAATTTCTGAATTTTATGAGATGCATCTTTTAAGAAATTTGTTCTGATGATTTTAAAATGATTTTGCTTTTATGCCTAATGGGTGTTTTTAATATTTGCATTTACTTCCTCAGATTCAGGAATTTTTACCAATTAGCAATTACATTGAATCAACAAATCATGAATTAAATAATTCTTGAAATAAATGCTGATGAAAACCTAAACTAGATGAAAAGTTAAAACAGAAAATGGTTTATAAAAGTTAGAAATGCTAGTATATCCATGTGAGCAATGATAAAGTTTAATAAAAAATGGAAATAAAAAGGACACTTATATTATCAGAAAGAGTTAAAATTTATAGAGCACATAATGAGGAAAGAGGGCTTGGAAAATTTGATACAAACAGGACAGATTCAAGGTAAGTGGAACAGAAGAAAACAATGTATAATGAACTTATAGAGCTTGAGTAAATGGATGGCAGAACAGGATTTAGGAGAAATAACAAAAGACAAATATTTATTAAGAGCTACAAAAGACAGGAAATTATGAAGAACCATGATCACCAACATCCAGAAGGGACATGGCATATGAAAGAAAAAGAATACTAGATTAGTGGCTGTGTATCATCAGTTTACTGTTGAAATAGCTAAGTGTAAGCTTAACTTCTATTCTAATGGTTTCTTTTCATGTACTTCTCACCTGTGGAACTCTCTTTTGATTTGTTATTCTCCCATCAACTATGATCTTCAAATATTTAAATGCTACATCAGTCAACAGGTTCTGTTTTTGAAATCTGTTCTTTTATTGTCTTTTCTACTCACTAAAGTTTTCTCTGTTTCTTTTACTCAGTAACCCCCTCATGTCTTCTCTTTAACCAGAGCATGTTATATATTCTCAATAAACATCTTGTGGAACTTGTCACACTTACGTCAAAACAGCTTCCAATATCAACATTTATTTTCCCAGTTTATATTTGCTAATTAGACAAACATTTTAGAAATCCATTCCTTAAATACATGACAGAAAAAATACAAGTAAGGAAATATAAATTGTTAACTATGCTGACTCATATGGTCCTACCAAGGATTGCATTCACCGTCCTTAACTCATAAATTTTTGAAGATATTACTCCCACTCCTCAGATTAATGAGATGCGTTCTAAGCAGTGACAGTAGTAGGCTTGTTTCCTTTCCTGCCAAAGTTGATTTAACCATATGGCATTAAGTTTATTGAAATTTCTCTTCAGTATGAATTTTTCTATTGTTTGATGAAGTGTTGACACTCAGTTTATTAATCAATAGCCTGTTTTTTTTTATGTATTTGTATTTAATATATCCATAATGCATTGGTATGAAAACACCAAACAAAAAATTCCTTCTAGTATATTACATGTGGTCAGTGAAAAATAAATGTGGCTACTCAAAACCAGCCTCTTTGGAAAGAAGTATCTCATTGTAATGCACAATCTACTGTCAATACTTCTGTTTGTAAAAAAATACCAAATATTAGAGAAATATCAGATTTTATAAAATAAGTATCACCCCATGCAAGACAGTAAAGCCACTAGGACACAAGGAGTTGCAGGATATGGAAGAATTTGGAACAGAAACATTAATAATGAGTGGGAAGAGAAAAGAGTAATGAGGAGGACAGTAGATAGCCGTTGACATTGCATTTAAATTTTTGCAGATTAAAATTGGCTGGAAAGCATGGAGACAGAAGGAAGTTCCACAAGTGAGAAGTGCAAGAAAAGAAACTGTTAGCATAGACTTTATGGTTGCATCTAGCCAGCTCAATGGTAAATTGATGAGAACTTGGTGCCAATCTATTATTGTGCTTAAATTCAAAAAGTCTAAGTACCATAGTGAAGAGCTCATTAGAATAATTACCATGAAAGAAATGGAAAGATTTAAATTAAATTTTCAGTACTTATTCATTAATAAATGAATTGTATAATGAATAAGTTTGTACTGCTTCCTGATACACATTTGTCTTGTGTACCTCAGAGAGCCAAATAAATACCTTATGGTAATCAGAACTCTGAAGATAAAGTACTATTCCTCAGTAGGTCTTTTAAATGGCAAAAGCATGGAACCAGAACAAAGAAATAAATACAAATGTAATATAATAACAACTCTGAGTAGAAGCTTTATTTTACTAATTTGGCTTTGGCACTGAAAAATGTTTATTTTATAGTGATGGATGGTTACAAGCAAGAGGATAGATGGGATGTGCTTATTTTATTACCAAAACAAATTTGTGACTAGTTTAGACAGAATATCAAAATAAATAATAGAGAAAAAAGAAGAGATATAAAAAAGAAGCCCAAAGGCTGAACATGACTGTTGTCTAAATGTGTAAAGAAAGTAGCAGGTAGTTTGCTTACAGGAATATATTATAAAGTTTACAATAATAAGTCTACAGGAAAAAAGAAAGTTACATGAAACTGCAGTATTGCACAGTGTGTGAACAGTCAATATGTTGTGTAAAAGGTTCCGTATGATGAAGTGTAGCAGGAAAAATAAATGTGTGGAGTAAGTAGCCAAATGGTTCAATGCAAGATAAGTAATAGAACTGTCCAACAAACAGAATTTACAAAGTTAGCAATAACAAGAAAAAGAAAAGAACGGCAATAAAAAAAAAAATTCAAGACAAGACAGACCGGGACAGAGTTAAATGAAACTAATTTGAGCCTATTTTATTAGCAAAAAAAAAAAAATCCCATCATGCATTTGTGTGCTTCTGCCTATAAATTGGGGAGGTGCAAGTGTTTTGCAATCATTTCTATGGGGACTGAAACCAAAACAATGTATAAAAAGTGATTATAAATATTCAATATAATAAAATATTAAGAGAGACCAATCATTACAGAAAAGTTTACTGGCAATTCTATCATTTAGGGGTAGAGTTAAGTGCATAAGAGGGTAGGAACCACATGTTTTGATTTTGGGGTTTATTATTATAGTGAAAATTGAAATTTATCATATTTATTTTATTAAACAATATGAGAAATTTCTCATCAGAATTGAAAGTCATTGTAGTAGTTTGCATTATACATGACTGTAATATTTTGCAAATCTTATTTACTTGTATCATTGAGGTTGTCATATACACTAAAATACCAAATACAATATTTATAAACCAATCTCACTCAAGAAAATACTTACATCTTAAAACACACCAATAAAATCATAGAATACAAGTCAGAAAGTTTGTTGTATTAGTCACCATGATTTGATATAGCATCCAAAAATTATTTTGCTAGATATTCTCTTCTGAGATATTAGAGTGTCTACTGATAAAGCTAAACTAAGGCACAGGAGATCAAGCAAATATTTCTTTGACTCCATCCACAAAAACATCTAATTAAAAATTAAGAATGTTCTTGATTCTTCAGGGAGGATATGTTTGGAGCAGTTCACAGACAATAACCTGAAAGTCATTGAAACAGTTTAT